CGGGTGTCCGGGATCTTCTGATCAGTAATAAGGATGGATGGATTGAAGAATGGATAGATGGAACTCCAGACCTCTTGCTCAGCCGTCTGAAGGAGTCCGAAGTTTACACTCTCGTGACCGATGTAAGCTCAGGCGACCAGCCTCTGCTGCCCCTCCTCTCTGCTCAGTTTTGGAAAGGCGAGAAAGCTTTTGGCTCCACAGTTCTCTCCCCCACCCCCCGCAGCTCCCCTTTCCCCCCGCCTCTTTCACGAGCTGGACTGTAAAGTGAGGCAAGGAAGAGACTGTAATAATAAACCTCCAGCGAACTTTGAATGAGGAGTAGAAACTTCTTCCTTCTTCTCTCTCCTAAATCAGCCTCCCAAAAGCTCCAGACTGTCCTGAAAAATTCGTTCACAACCAGCTGCCTTCCGTTCCCCCCTTTCCTTTCCCTTCACTTCCCTGTGAGGTTGACTCTTCTCGGACAGAGAGCTCTTAAATGAGAGGCCAGAATATTTTGGCAGAGACTTAGGAGTGTAGGCTCAAAGTCCGGTCCCCTTCCCAAGATGTAGAAGCCTCTGTTTAAGAGGACTGTTTGTTCCAAAAGAAGATAAATTATCACCAATAATACATGCAGTTTTATTCTGGTTAAACCAATAGTCGTGTTTTCCTAATTGTGTGAATCAGAGTAGGGTTCGACTTTAGAATATTCCAGTTTCTTTCAGAACATTCCATTTTTCTCCTGGAAAAGGCCCACCGAGATTCCAAGTGTGGCTTGTGAGTTTCCAGACCTTTATCATTAGGAACAGAAAGGAGTCTACAGAACTTCCTGTTCCAGACACGTGAGCCATTCTCACAAAACTTGGTTTGCCTGCACCATTATGCATATCCCTAATGACCACACTCTCCTTGCAAGAAAACATGGTTGGCTGGTGTGTGGTTTGCTGTGTTTTGAAATTGGGATAGACTTGTACAGTTTTATGTCCATTCTGCACTGTACCATAACAATTTGACTACTGTAAACTTGAAATACTGAACTCTAGAGCAAATAACAAATAATAACTGCCCACAATTGCCACAGAATAAGGAATAAGGAAAGACTCTTCCACCAAAGTATGAGATAAAATAATTAACAGGCACCTTCTTTCCCACATCTGACTCATATCCTTTGTTTATGCTGGGTAAAGTATATTTCTCTGGATGCGTGAAAAAATAAACCAAAACTAAAATACTAATTTCATCATGATTTCAGCTACACATAGCTTGTGTTTAGCAACCATAACTGAAACCTGCAACTTGGTTGTTAAGCAAAATGGTCACTAAATGAAACCTATGCTTGTGTTCTTATTTCAGCTTTCCTTTGCTTTACAGACCTTTCAAAGGCCATAAATGAAAAGATTGGTCACAAAGTTACTTTTCTATAACAGTCATTTAATAAGGATACAGTCATAACTATGAACAGTCCCTATGTAAGGCAGTTGCTAAATATAAATTAGCCATACACCATTGCTGACCGAAAAATACTTCTGCTTAACTCTGTCCTGTTGTTAATATCATCTATACCAAGGGGGGTGTCAAACTGCCGGCTCATGGGCCGGTTTCATCCTACCGAAGCCGCACCCACCCCATTGCCGGCAATGCAAAAAGAGTTGCGATATGTCACAATACATCACGTGATGTGGCGAGTTTGACACCCGTGATCTATACAGTCTGAGACATCATAAACTGATCTCACACAGAAACAGACTTTCCCTGTGGAACTGTCCTGAAAGGCATTAAAAAAAGTCAAGATGGTGGCCATGACCATGAAATTAAAGCCCTTTTTATATACAGACGCTACACCTGAAATGAGAGACAAAATACATGTTGTATTGGATCCAAATATGTGAGCCTTAGAGTTCTGCTCAGAGCAGGACAAAGCTGTTCCGTTTTTCTATGTGTCTCTTGAGAGTCTCTTCTGAAGGATCAGGAAATACTCTGGTACAGTCTTCTTCAATCTTTTGCCTTCCAAACAATCCCCCCCAACTCTTAGTTCCCATAACTCATTGTCTGGTTATGCTGACTGGAATTAAGAAGTCTGTAATCAAACATTTCTGGAGGGCATTAGATTGAAGAAAATGGTGACAATAAGTTAAATGAATACATGTGCAGACAGACAGACAGACAGACAGACTAACGAACAGTTTAGTCAACTCTTTTCTTTAATTGGTAGACTGTATTGGAGCTCCCTGTCCCCCAAAACACCATGATTAAATCCAGAATTTTGTTTTAATTTTTACTTTTTTAGGTACCCCAAGGATGTCACATAGAATTAATAAACACTTGTGGGTATGCTTTTGTTTAATAAGCATACAGTATTTTAGGAGCTTTAAACCCTTAATACTTCACTGATGTGCCCTTTATACCCTTCTCCACCCCCCAAAAAATGTCAATAAAATACCATGTTCTACAGGAAACCTAAAAGAAACAAGTAAATGCTCTCTAGAACTTAAGAATCCAGTTCCCACAGCCCATAAATGTTTGCTGAAACTGATGGGAATTGAATCCAAAATATCTGTAGAATCTCCAGTTGTGTATCCCTGATGTTCCGCAGAAAAGGTTCTGCAGTTTCACTGCGGTCTCTAACGTATTCACATGCTATATGGGTCTTTCAATTTCAGCTGTCCTTTTCTGGAGTTTGGGGGCCACCCTAAGGTATAATATCAACATTTTATATGATATATGCATTTAAATTCCAAATTCCTTAATTCTCATATCGAAACTTTTGTGCAATTTATTTTAAGACCTGCCATAGTGTCAGGCTATACATGGCTTATAAACTTGGTTCACTCTGATTGTAAATTTAGTTGTTGTTTTTTTAAAGTCTAGCATCCATTCTGTTGATAAAACATGTGCTTTAATGAAGTTTTATTATGGTTGCATGTCCAATAGTGTGATGATTTACATATTCCTTTATCTGGAATATTTAAAACCTTGGGCATCTCCACATTTATACAATACTGCACAGTTGAAATAGTTCATCTTTGTCTCTTCTGCTGACCTCAAAATGCAGAAAACACAAAAAAAAGGCTCTAAGAATCAATGTGATAAGCTTCTAGCCTAAAAGATCATAGTCTAATTATCTGATATCCTGAGGTTTCCCGGCAAACTGTGATCCTGGAGCTGCTGAGCAAGTTGTAAAAGCCAATCTGTTGGCTATTTGGTATTCCCGTACCAGACTCATAACAATTCTTGTTTGGCCTTCTCATTTTTGAATGATGTTATTTCTAAAGTCATTTGCCAGGGGAAATCAAAGAACTACTGTAGCTTCTCTAGTGTCGTGGAAAAACCCAATGAAAAAAACAAGAGACAGCAACACAAAGCAATACTTCTTACTTTAAGATTCCGAGGTTTCTTTTGCTAATAATCTGGAACATAGCAAACATAATACACAACATCACTTACATTAGTAACTCATTGCAATGAGGTCCAGTACATAGAGTTCCAATAAGGACAGCTATAAGCCAATGGCAAATCAGTCAGGTCCAGTCTCAACTCTTTATACCCTTTCCTTTCCTAAGACTGTAAACAGATGGTCAGCAAACATTTTCTGCTGACTTCCTGCTGACCCTCGGCTGAACATAACTTTCTACATACTCATGTACTTTGGAACCCGCATCTATCAGCTACTTACAGTTCCCTATTTCTTACTCTTCCAGTTCTTGTGTTCTAAATATATTTGAAACAAGCAAGCTTAGCAAAATCATATTAAGTCAAGTACAATTGCAAACTGCAAAATTAAGCATAGCACAGACTTTGGCTCAATACTTCTGAATGGGCCTAAACCTTGCATAGAAGAACAATAGCCAATATTTTCGTTTTCCACACTAGAGAAAAAAATTAAACAGAGTTTCAAATAAACATCCTATAGAATTGTTGCTATAAAATTTTGCAAGAAATCACAAGGAATTGTGTTACAAAATGTATAGAACTTATCGCACATTAAATATGGCACAGAAATACTTCTTTCATGTTAAATACTCAGGGGACTGGGAGGAACAGAAATAATAAATTAAAATTTTTTAGAGCACTGGTGATTATGCAAACTAACGATGATGAACTCATTTTCTCATAAACTGCCAGAACTGGAGTATTATAAGTAATATTGCTAACGAATAATTATGTTATTAAGGATCACCAAAAACAGAGATTTGCCAATGATTTCAAATAGCCTTGGATGAAGTATTTGTTCATAATATTTACAGCTGACTGCTGGCAAACTGAATGATAATATAACCCAGAGCTTATGAGTTATGCACTGAAAATAAAAGCTTAAAAAGAGAGGCATTTTTACAATTAAAACTTTAAAACATATTTTAATATATTGTTTTATTCATGACATCATAAGTGTAACAAGATAAATTATCAGCACAAATAGGTTAACTTGTATTAATTGAACTATCTGCCATGCACATAAGTCATAATTATTATATACTATATGATCTATTATCTGCTATAAAATACACAAAACTGGATTGCTGTCTGATTGTGTGAAGTTTTATTTAGAATAAGTTCCAAAGACTTGGTGGAACATCATTTTCAGTTATAACTATGGTTGGGACCTTATTACAAAGTCCTAGGCAGATTACTCATAGTAAAGTCTTCCTAAATTCTGCACTATTTGGAGCTCTGCTAGATGGGATACAGTTTCATCAGGATTCTTCCCATCCTCTTATTTCTAATTTTATGCTACTGTACAGGTAGTTCTCACTTACAACAGTTCATTTAGTGACCATTCAAGATTACAATGGCACTGGATAAAGTGACTAATGACCATTTTTCACAATTACAACCTTTTGCAGCATCTCTATGGTCATGTGATTAAAATTCAGATGCAGGGCATCTGATTCATATTTATGACAGTCCCAGGTCATGTGTCTCTGGTCATGTGATCACCTTTTGCAAACTTCTGACAAGCAAAGTCAATGGGGAAGCCAGATTCGTTTAACAACCAGGTTACTAACTGAACAACTTCAGTGATTCACTTAAAAACTATGATAGGAAAGGTTGTAAAATGAGGCAAAACTGACTTAACAAATGCCTCATTTAACAACATAAATTTTGGGCTCACTTGTGGTCGTAGGTTGAGGACTATATGTACTGTACTGGTTTTGTGTGATCATATCATATTTTTCCTACCATATAATTGAAGCAAGAAGAAATGGGGCATGACACACCTAGTAATGGCACAGTGAAAGGTATGTGTGTATGCGTGTTCATGCAAATGTGTGTGCATGTGCTTCTCTTCATCATTGCTGAATCTATATGTCCAACCAAAACATGCTTTATGATGGTGGTATCAATAACAAGTCAGAGCGACATCAAAATGACAATAAGTGCATTATGTTGTTAAGCAACATTCTTGCATAACAATGGGTGATACAAGAATGTTGTATCATGCACGTGTTGTACAAAAATAACAGAATAGATGCTATGTATATTTGTAAAAAGATACCCTGAGAATTATATAATATAGAAACTTGGTAGATATTTAGAGGAAGCTGCTGAAATAAACAGTATATAAAATCACACAGAATAAAGTTACAGTCTACTTATTGATGTTTGGAGATTCTTTGTAGCAGCTCTGTTTTCAGACTTGCTTCCGAAGGATGGAATAGCTTCTTCCAGCCTTTGAAATATTTTCTCTTCTGCTGTTTCTTACTGAAAGACAAACATGTTTTTTTTTTAAAAAAAAAAAAACATTGGTCAGGCAGACTTTTGTCTTTAGCTCCAATTTCAGTGGGCAAGCAGAACTCTACAAGAAACAATAATAAATAAGTTTTGAAACTGATTATCATTCTTTTCATCTGTCACAAAGATGTTCTGCATCAATCTGAATTTAATATTGGGGACTATGAGATAGGAAAGATGATATATAATGACAATGCTCCAGGAAGAGTAAAATTCTAATCTGTTTGAATTGTTCTTTGATTTCGTTTTACTAAAACTCACAATTCATTGAGTAGATGTGATTTCGTGGTCAGGTTTACCACTTTCTTATAATGAGAAGACAGAAAGCATTCAAGCATTTTGCAAACTGTTTAAAAAGAGAACCATCACATGATGTTTCTGTCAATATCTCTGTAATTTATGTAAATTACTGTTTTCCAAAATTCTGAGGCTTTGATGTTTGGTTTTCCTGGCAATGATAACTGCTTTAATAAGTATTTCTTATTCTCTTCTTTGACCATCATTATTTTGGAGAGGCTTCAAAAAGACCTGACACTTAAAAAGTAAAATAAGTTGGGAAATGGCTCATACTAGATCTAACCGGACTGGAGTGGTGAACAATTATTTATTATTAAACTCAAAGGGGAGTTCTACTTTAGACACTTGCAATATTTTTTTTGTTTAACTTAACTCTTTGAAATATATAGATCTTTCTTTTTGGCCTCTTCACTCTTTTGCTATTGTATTTATGAGCTATGACAGTTTGTATTTGCATGTGCTGATCTAATGAAGTCTTACTACTTACTGCTTCCATTTTGGGGGGCTTCTCTGCAGAGATAATTTTTCCATATTGAGACCTGAGGGTTATTTTAAGGTATTTTTTTTCTTCATAGTGTAATGTTCAAATATGGTGAGTATTTGGTCAGATTGACTGCATATGGATATATCTAGGCAAGGCATGTCAAATCTGCAGCCCATGGACCACATGAAGCCCTGGATAGTTAATATTGCAGCCTCACAAATTCATAGTAAAAATATTTTAAAAACGTAGGAAATTTGTTATTTAACTATAATATATATATTATATGCGCCCCAAGACAATTTGTCTTCAGTGCAGCTCAGGGAAGTCAAATGGTTGGACACCACTTGGTCTAGACAGCTTTGTGAGCTAAAAGGGATGGTTTTTCCAGGTTGTCTTTAAGATGCAACAAGATAGTAGAAAGGCAGTGATTTTTGAATTGTAGAAACTTTTTCATTCAGTCACCTATATGAGAAATCAATGAGAACTAGAGGGAATCCTGTTGCTTACTCTTTTTGTGCATGGGCAACTTTAAGGTTTTGCGTGTAAGAGACTTTGAGTCCAGCAATTACCTGGACTTCTCCTTAGTGTTTTCAAATCAAGTTGCTTATTTTGGCAATAGCTCTTGGCAATCTCCATATAGGCTACAAGTTTGCCTCTATATTTTGTGGGTTTTCATTTCAGTACCTGTGTTATAAATACCAATGTAGTCTTAAACAAAATCTCATATCTCATCTACAGTATAGTGCAACTCTTATACCAGTATTGTACTGAAGTGAAAAGAAAACCAACTCTTGAAGATATTTTATAATACTGTATTTTTAATTTTACAACAGATGAAGTTTAAATATAGCATGATTTTGAAATCATTTTTATCTGAAAAGCAATGCAATGTGTTTTATTTTTGTGTTATGATGTTGATTTATATTTTTATTTATTTGTTGGCAAAGAGGATCAAGAGTTAAGAAAATTGATTAAATTCTGTGACCAGAAACTTCACTGTAAATTTTGGCTAAATGGATCAAATGGATCAAATTCTTTTGCATTTTCAATCTGTATAACTTGTTTTTGACTTAACTTTTTATTTACTCTGGCTTTGTTATGTATGACCTAATGGAAGATACAGGGAGTAAGACTATTCTAACAGTCTGACCTTCAGATTATACTGGATGAATGAAGATTGGATGATTCTTAAACACTCTTGTGACACCATTACTAGTTGCACGATTTAGGTAGGCAAAGTGATAGTCTTCTGTCACGTTGGATTATGCATGAATGAAATTGCCCATGGTAAAAATGTAGAATACCTGAGTAATAATAAAATATAGTTAGAATCCTGTCATTGATTGGTCCCTGTATCACTGGCTATAATATCATGACATTCTTGTGAAAAGGTTAAAACATTTCCCTAAATAATATTTCAACAAAATGCAATCAGTTCATAGGAGCATATGAAATACTGAAGCACAGAATTTATATTTTCAGATGGATGCCCTAGATCAGTGGTTCTCAACCTTTTTAATTCCGCGACCCCTAACCGGTCGTAAGTCAAGGACTACTCAATCGGTCGTAAGTCGAGGACTACTCAACTGGTGCAGCACTGTTTGCAGAATGGGACTTTTGGCAGGCTCAGCAGGGCAGAGATAGCCTGGACAATTCCTATTGACTTTTGAAAGCCAATAGAATTAGACTCTATTCAAGAAAGTCTATTCTATTGGCTTTCAAAAGCCAATAGAATAAAAGGGAGTAGCACAGCTAAGGAAAAGGGGGAAAAAATGGCGGACTGCGTTGTTTGGCAACCCCCGTGAAATGGTCGTTCGACCCCAAATGGGGTCCCGACCCACAGGTTGAGAACCATTGCCCTAGATTAACATCACTCACCCATCAAATGTCTTTAAAAAAGAAACTCTACACAACAGGAGTGCAGACATCCTATACAAACCATAGTGATATCATGTGGACCATGCCATCATTGCACAAATAATGAGAATTATGTGACCAATGCAAATTGCATCATTTGTATAATAATATCATCATGAACAGAAAGTCACTTGCTCCCATTAGTCTCTGGACCCCAGATATGTCCAAAACTTCCTTCTCCATTGTTCCTCAAGAAAAGAGTTAAGCTTTGGATATGTTTTTTATCTATTCATGTTATGGAAAAGTAATGTCAATTACAATATTTTGAAACAAACAAACAAATCTATATATAGTACACTAGGGGTGTCAAACTTGCAGCCAACGGGCCGGATATATCATGCACAGGCCACGCCCACCCTAGCTCTGCAAAGGCAAAAACCGTCATGATACATCATGATATTCATTTGACATGATCGAGTTTGACACCTGTGAAGTACACTGATTGCATAGTTTATAAAAATCAATCAATATTACTTAAAAAAACTATATTGATAACATACAATGGTCTGAGTGGGACATAGCAATGGAATTTAAAAGCTGGGTTCTAGCCAAACATCAGAAAGACTCCATTTAGCACCTTCTTTCCACCAAGGATTCCAAAGCGAATGATAGAAGCTATTACTGAAATATCTCTCCTTGACAGTTTCCCACTGTATTTCAGATGGCAGACAAACCTGGAGAAGAATCTCTCATGAAGATCTTAAAACATGGGCAGACTCATAAGAGGAAAGCTACAATATTGAAGGTACAACATATCTCATCTGCATTTGATTTAACAGCATATGCTTTCTCTTGATGCTCCTTCAGACATAATGTGTGTGGTGAATTATAGAAATTTTTCCAATTAGAAATTTAAATTGTGAAGTTTTCCCTTGAAGAAACAAATGTGTATTTTACTATCTGATGCTTAAACAGAAAACTAAAAACAAGACTTGTGTATTTGATTTGCAAATATATTTTTATTATCAATATTTGCAAGCTTTCTAGCATAATCCACAGTTTTGCTTATTATTATTCATATTATGTTAGTACCCCAGGGTGAGCATTAACTAAAATCCTTCCACAAGTACAACTGAAGTACAGAAAATCCCAGGATATCAGTATCAAGGAATTAATAAAATAAATTAATATTATAAAGCTCATTAAAAATGTAACTCTCATTACTTTACTTAAGTTTTTTGAATTCTTGTAAACAATATGTTTACAAGAACCTTTCGTGGTAATGTTCAACAAAACAAAAATGCAACTGTTTTTTTTTAACATTTGGGTGGATATGATTAATTTGTCAATTTCTCAAATACCTATTTCAATGTTTTGAGATTATAAAAAGTTGCTACCTGTCTCATTCTTATTTTTTAAAAAAAGTGATTTAAAGACAGCTGTTCTTAGTTGAAACTCTCAGCAAGACTGCTGTTCTCAGAAATACTAGCCAGAATGGCCCTTAGCTGGCAATATTGGAAATCATGGTTCTGGATTATACAAGGTTGGAGAAACCTATTTTAAGTAACTGTAACTTAATCAAATATTATGGTTTATCACTACTAGAGTCCTTTTGATTACCTTAGAGTCTGACTAAATTTTGAATGTCTAAATACAGTATATGGTGGTCTTGCTTCTAGTTTTCTAGACAGAGAAACTAGTCTACAATTTGCCTACCGTGCAAAGTTTGTTTACATTGCCTTACATATGATTATTTAACCCACCTTAAAGCAGAAGCTTGCACTCTGTGTTTGTGCTTGGTATGCATATTTCTTTTTCAAGTAATGAAGGCCAGCATAAATGTAAAATAGTGAATGACATCCTAGTGTTACCTTCAAAGGCAAAAATATAATAATGAATAGGTATGTGAAGTGCCTTTTGATCATTTGCTTCTAATTGAGGGTTCATTGTATGTCAGACATAGCGTAATCGTGAAATGAAAACCCATGCAGAATTTGAGGTGGGATAGGGAAGACTTAGCATTTCACTTGGTAAGCATACATAGATATAGCATATCATGCAATTGTTTAGCTGAGTGAGAAGAATTACTTCTGTCAGCAAAAGTGGCAAAACAACTCTTACCATATATTGAACAGGCATACAAAATCTTTGTAAGTCTTCTTTGGATGATCTGCCAACATCTCAAGACAGAAGCAGGAAGCTGAAAATTGAGGGGCAATAACTCAGATGCAATTGTAAAAGCAATTCCATTACTGGAAAATGGGAGATCCCATTAAGACGTTAGGGGAAAAGAATAAAATGGGGGAACATATACTTTATGAGCCGTGGTGGCACAGTGGTTAGAATGCAGTACTATAGGCCAGGGCTTTTCAACCTTTTCACCCATTGTACCACTTTTAGGATATGGCAATATCCGAGTACCACCAGTCGCCTAGCAAGGTGTCAAAAACTTGATGACCAAAAAAAAAAAAAAGGAAAAAAGTGATAAAATACAGGTAGTCCTCGACTTACAACAGTCTGCTTAGTGACTGTTCAAAGTTACAATGGCACTGAAAAAAGTGTCCCCAAGCCACAGCCGAGCAAGACACCTGCCTGCCCACCCAACGGCGCTCTTCCTCCTATCTGAGGTTTTCATTGTTGTGAGCATTTCTGTTGAGGATTGGCAGCGGGGGTGGGGTGGGGGGGTGTTTGGTTTTTATTCCCCCGGTCTGCTGGGTGATTGCAGCAGGTTTGGTCACTTCACATGACCCTGGGACACTGTGACCATCATAAATATGAATCAGTTGCCAAGCATCTGAATGTAAATCACAAGACCCTGGAGATGCTGCAATATTCCAGCTGATCGGCGCTTCTTCTGGGCTCAGCAGAAGCACCAGGATCAGTGCTGCTTTCCAGCTGATTGGTGCTTCTTCAGGGCTCAGCAGAAGCGCCAGGATCAGTGCTGCTTTCCAGATGATTGGTGCTTCTTCAGGGCTCAGCAGAAGCGCCAGGATCAGCGCTGAGCTCTAGCTGGAGCCTGGCACTGATCCTGGCACTTCCACTGAGCCCTGACAGCCCCGAAGAAGCGGTGATCCTGGCACTTCTGCTGAGTCCTGACAGCCCTGCAGCTTCAGGCATCTCTCGCTCAGGCTTGTGTGGTGCTGCCACTGGTTCAGCTCATTCCCCTCCCCCGCTACTACTTTTCTAGGATGGTCGCATACCACCTGCCAGGTGCCAATGTACCACAGGTGGTACCCGTACCACTGGTTGAAAAGCCCTGCTGTAGGCTACTTCTGTTGACAGCTGACAACCTGCAATTTGGCAGTTCGATTCCCACCGGCTCAAGGTTGACTCAGTCTTTTATCCTACCAAGGTCGGTAAAATGAGGACCCAGATTGTTGGGGGCAATGTGATGACTCTGTAAACTGCTTAGAGAGGGCTATAAAGCACTATGAAGCAGTATAGGAGCCTAAGTGCTATTGCTATTACCAGATGGTCACATTTCTGTCTCTAAGCCCAGAACAACATCACAATTGTGTACAACATTTTCCTGATATTTATTTATTTAAAAAATTATAACCTCTTATGAGAAAAATGAATAACATGTTTAGGGCAGATAAACAAATATATACAGAAAGAAGAAATACAGAAAACATTGAAATGCAATAAAAGTGGCCATTCTAGATTATATAACTGCTAAAGTAGTACAGTGACTAGAAGACTGGCTTTAAGAATGGAAACAGACTTCATAGAATTACTTGCTCTTTAAAACATCTGATTTCCATGGTAAAAAGTCACGCTTCATTGATCTCACCCATTGAAAGAAAAGCAATTTCTTTATATTTTATTATGCATTTATTCTATCTTTAATGCACATAATAAATTGAATTGTCTGGACAATTACAGTAATTTAAAAATGTTCTGAAATAATAAAACAACAAAACCATACAATAAAGAACAAAAATATATAAAATCTTTTGCCTATAGTAATGTAGACACCTAAAATAAAAAGTGAAAATGCCTGGAAGAAATGGAATATCTTAGTCTGGTGTTTAAAGACATTAAACCCTCATCCCTTTCTGCTCCTTGTCCTCTTCCTTTGCAAGATGGCATGTTAGTAACAGCACTTTCTGTTTCTTCCAGTATTCACCCTATATCTTTAAACCATTCAACCCTTCCAGGCAGGTGGTACTCTTCTTAGTAAGTTTCCTAATTGCTTCAACGCTTGGGAGAATTCAGAGAACTTAATTCTCAACAAGTATCAAAACATCTTAATGAGTTCTTCATTCAAGAGGAAGCTCATCCTAAAATTTCTAACCAAGGAGGATTTTGATAATAAACCTATCCTACATTCTGGCCCCTCCTTTGATAGATGAATCAAAAACTCCATTAGACCAGTTCCACTACTAATCACCACAAAGTAACATTTCCTTTCTCAGCATGCATTACAGCTGCTTTGTGCAAATTTGATGAATGCTGTGTTCATTCTGAAGATCTAGCTTCATTTAATCTCCATAGCAGTTTGAAATTCTTCTTATTCAGAAAACACAAAGGGCATTCATGTTTAATCCATGGGATTAAAAAATTTACACAGCCACTTCCTTGCCAATGACACCTAGCACGAAGGACAGTCACATTTATGAGGTTCTTAACATAATTATTTCCTTCAGACTGTTTCTTCTCCTATTTCTCTCAAATCATTAAGCCCTGGCTATTGATATATCTGCTTGAATTCAGCCATGTTCAGAGAACATCAAGAATCTAACTGCTACCCCCAAAAAAGTCTGGCAGAGTTTTGATTGTACCATTTTGGCCACCATCTTGATATTCTTGATCACACACTGCAGATTGTCTTGCTGCTGTTAGGATTGCAGAAAAGCAGTGCCTTCAGCAGTACTAACAAAAGCTATGTGGAAGAAATTATTTGTCGTCCAAGACACTACTGAGGAGCTACAGCTCTTTCCTATTTAGATAACGCGTTTGAAGTGTTCTGGTATGTCTGGGACATACATTGATTTTATGTTATGTGTTCTAGCATGTACAAAGCTTATTTCCTGTATGGACTGGTCCTAAAGTAACAAGAATCTCTAATTTTGCTGCATTCGCCTCTAAATATGAATACTTTTTTTTCTACTGGAAACAACTTCTGTAAAACTGTGAGCTCTGTTTATGGACTAAAGGTCTGCTTTGAATGCCACCCAAGAAGGAAGTGTAGATACAATAACTAGAGCTACAGTCTTCTTAGTATGGCACCAACAGTGGAATTCCTTCCCTTTTGAGATAACTTCATCTTCTTTGGCTGCTTTTAAAAAAAGTTGAAAATCACTTTTATAAACTATAAACAAGAAACAAAATTCTTCATTTATATTAACTATACTTGATGGACACTTAGCAATAGCACTTGTTAAATATGTGGTTTTATTGTTAATTATTATAAGTGGTATTGATATCAAACCAAGAACTGAATAACGCCCTCAGTTAGTACAACAATGGACTTTTAGTGCTCCCTTTGTGCTAGATTCTGTACTTCCAGATTGGGACTGCAGAGCTCTCTTGGTGTCCAAAGATGAACTGCAGAACAGCATGTCTCCTTCAAACCTGGGTCTAGCATATATTGTAAATAGTTTTATATCATTTTATCAATTGTTTATTTTTAAATTTGTCATGTGTGGTAAGCTATTTCAGCTTGCCAGAAATGTGCATGTAGAATTGTGACACTGTCAATTGTTTTTTCTTTTTACGACTCTGTAATCCCTTTATTCGGGGTGGGTAGAGGTGACTGAATGGAGCTGAGCGTTTATTGGCTGGATGCCCTTCCTGAAGCCTCTGCAGTGTTTGCATCTTGTGACACTCTGTCAATAAAGTATAAAAATACTATAAAAACCATGAAGTAAAATTATATGTTTCCTAGACCTGTACTATAAAAATATGTGCAACTAACTCCATGGATATATTATTGGCAAGAGGAAGACAATATATTGCCTAAAAACAAACTTTGGACTGAGAACTCCTATAATGGCGCTTCAGTTATCGATGCTGGGAAACATGATGACCGTGTAATAAAATTCTGCATACATTATTTCAACAGGAAATGTATCACAACTTTTGATATGCAACTATGATATCTCAAGGGTTCCATAAAATATTTGAATAGCACTGTAAAATTGAAAACAATACTTCATTTTTGAAGACATTGTTGAAAGTATTAAAGCCAAGAAATCTGGAACACGAATGCATCAGACTTCCTTTGTTTGAACCTACAGGAGATAAGAAGTAATTCAGAATGTATACTACAGGTATATGTATTTTATTCTCTGTTATTTACTAAGGATTTTCTTTGGCCTTCAATAGCCTTCAATAGGTTCAATGAATGAAGTATGTCATTTACTTCAATAATATTTTTGGTTTAGCTATTACATTTTGTAATACTAAATTGTAAATTGATTAATTTGAACTTTTCACTTTTTATGAAAAGGGTTCATGAGCTGGTTTCAGGAGCAAAATTTCAAACTTAAACTTTTAGGATTCAGTGATGTCACAGGAAACTGGTTGTGCCATGAACAGATAATTAACTTCTCAACTACCATTTTCACCATATAATTGTCTTCTTCCTTTATGTAAATATAATTGGACTTGACTTGAAGAAAAAAATATATCTACAAATATTATACATTCCTTTGTTGTTAAAGGAGAGCTTTGTTAGTTGATGTAGAAATTCTTAACTTACTTAAATAATTTTGTAGTGTGGAATAGGAAAGAATGATTTTATCAACAACTTTTATTATGTTATTCCAAATTATTGTGCACATGAGTCAATATTAAAAACACAAATAAGAATGGGAATTATTGTCAATCAGGTGCCCTCTAGGTGTTCTGAAACTGCAGGCATTGGAATGTTGGGAATTCACTGCATAAACTTTCTAAACAAACATCAAAGCCAAACACTGACCAATTATGCAGGCAGTAAAATGGAATGGATTTTTGTAATTTGTATATCCAAAGCCATCATCCTTGCTTGAAAAATTGTTCATTTGATTAGAAAGTTGAAGATGAGTTTGTTCTAAGTACTCCTCATTTTTTCTTAATATGCTAAGTTTAGAATTATTCCAAAGTAGAGTATTTTTAATTTTGTCTTATACACAGCTAGGTAAGAATGGACCTAATGTTAAAGATGATCCTATAATCATATTTGATGGCACTGAGAACACCAGTATTAGAGGCCATAAATGTATACATGGCTAATTCCACAACATGTAGAATTTGTTCTAGCCACTTCATGTAGACCTTGTGTTAATCCCAGACTATGGGATTTCCTGGGAATTTGGACTGAGATCACTCTTTGGAAAGAAGCCAAAATCTTATGCTTCAGCCAGCTTCACTAGGTAAAAAAGGTTTTAATTATTTTTACCAGATTTTAATTGCTCGTGAAATTTTGAT